AAAAAAACAAAATTCAATTATTTCATTAACATTTATTATTTTTGCGATACAAATTTTTCAATATAATTTTCATCATTTTATTAGAAGACTTTATATGGAATATGACATCAAAAAATTTCGAAATTTTACATCCGAAAAAGTCATATTTCATATAAATTTTCGAATGCAAAATTACATAGGGTATGATTTTTTTGGACGTAAATTTTCGATTGTAAAATTTCTCCTAATTTCTTTGCAAGTTTGATTGTGCCCCCCAAACTTTAAACTTCTGCGTCCGCCCCTGAATTCGCGCCTATGCAACCGCATGTATAAAAGGCCTACGGTCGCAGATCATTTTCATGGCGTCAATTTTCCCTTTTCATTCATCCATCCATAATTTTGAACAACAAGATTCCAGCACATACACATTCATCTCATCTCAATTATGTCCATTTCATTCAACAGTATAAAAACACATCTCAGGGAACCTCTTATTTAGCTACGTTCTGTTCTGTCTCCCCCTTCAGTGCAACACCAATATCATACAAATACAGCAAACAAATTTCACCCTACAGTTTTGAAGGACTCACGAATGTGTCTCAAAGTGTCTTGATCCTTGTTCCACTCTGGTGTTGGAGCATTAACAAAATGAGCATAATTAAAGCTTTTTCTTGGTACAAGTAACTGACATCAGGCTATGTGCACCAAGCCCATCAATCTTATACACATAGTAAACTTGCCCTTTTTCATCCTTTCTCTCTTCTGATTTAACATTTTCGGCACTTGTAATCAGATCTTGCAAATTTACATCTGATAATGCGTGGTGAGGTGGTTAGAATTGTGGTTGCCAGGGCAGTGGCAGCTAGTGTGGTTGTTAATTTAGTCAATTGCGGTTTAGTAAGGAGATGATTGAGATGGGGTTTGGTTGGTGGCGGTCGAACTGGTCGTTTTGGAGGTGGTGGAGTGGTGGAGGAGGATGACGAGAGGAGTGCAGAAGGAGAGAAAATTGTAGCCATGGAAACTTTTGCTTGTGTAATCTGGATAGGTGTCTGGTTTCTAACTCTTATCCTATATAGTAGGGAAGTGCATGTTATGTTACCAGGTGTGTTGCTGAGGTTCTCCAATCATGACAAGGGATGGTGCCATGTCATCTTCAAATTTTAGGTCCAATTTGTATAATGCATGTTGGATTAGTAGACTCAAGTTTCATTGCTTAGAAGAAAATATGATTTATGAGAAAATGATTTCATTAAAGTTTGAACTTTTATATCGTTGAAAATGTTGTTCAAAGTTTAATAAAAACGGTTGTGGAATAATGTGGAATGAAAATCAATGTTGGAGACCAAATTTTGGCCTATGCGTATGCGGCCGCATAGGCCAAACTTGGCTGCGGTCGTATAGGCCAAGGCAAGGATTAATTAATCCCTGCTGTGAAGAGAACTGTAAAGTCGCATAGTGTCGAACTATGCAACTGCATAGAAGGCCAAAAGAGCCGTTAGTGATCGTTTTGTTCAAAATTTTGGTGGGTTTTTGGCACCATTTCGTATGACAATGTCTCTTGGCTATATATAAGTGGTTTGTGATCATTATAATCACTATAAATTAAAAGAGGCTAAAACAAATCTTACACGTGTCGCGATTTCCCATCGTCGTCAAAAATCAACCTTTTTTAAAAAAAAAAATCCTAAAATTAGTCAAAATTTCCACCGCTTTACTTCTCCACTTCTCCATTATATCACGTAACATCCACTCCTCCTCACCCCCACTCCTCCTACTCTCCTTCATTTCCTCCATTTTCTCTCTCATTCCTCTTTCTTTTCCTTTCTTCTACGGCATTTTCAATTGCGGTTAATGTCATCAGATTTTAGTAGGATTCCACCGCTGGAATACAGGTAGGTTTGGATTATGGCTATTCATTTATATTGATTATGAATATAGGTTTGGATTATGGCCATTTTGTTCCTCAATACTATGTTAAGCATTTGGTGGTTGGAATATGGCTTTGGTTTATAACTATTCATTGATTATTCAACCCTTTTGATTGTTGGTAAATCCTGTGTATTTCATTTGACTAAATCGGTGAGTATGTTTTTTCGTGTGCTGCACCCCTCAATCCTCTATTAAGCATTTGATGGTTAGAATACGGCTTTATTTTTATAAAATAAGTAAAATATTAGGGTATGATGGGGTGGACTGCCAAGCTGGGGAGTGGGGGTGAAGAGTGGTTATTTACTAGAAGGATTGAGAATCGGCATACTGAGAAATTAATGGAAGCCATGGAGAAATGACTTGGAGGCATGACTTGGATGAAGGCATTTGGACGGAAGCATTACTTGGATGGAGGCATGCTATATATATATATTTTTTAATTGTTATTTTTTTCTACTAATAATATTTTTTTAAATTATATAAATTTAACTGGATTGTGCAACGCACACTAAACAATTATATAAATTTGATTGCCTTGATTTGATAGAAACCGCATGTATAAAATGGAAGCATTTCTCTACTATATAAATGTACATTTTTTATAAAATACAATAAAATATTAGGGTATGATGGGGGTAGACTGCCAAGTTGGGGAGTGGGGTAAGAGTGGTTATTTAACCTTAAAATTTGCCATTGAGTTTTTCAAAGAATGGTTTATAGCAAGAAAAATTAAATACCTTGTGACGATTTCCATTGGATTATATAAAGCAACAGTAGGTAAATGAAGTGAGACACAATACCTTAGGGCATACATTTAATTTGACTAACAAAGTAATAATCAAGATCATAAATATTATTGGTCATACAATTTTTACGGATGTCAGTATATAGATAGGGTATGTGATGGAGGGACGCTGGTGTCTCCGAACGTAGCGTGCCTTCGTGCATGCAGATGGAAGCACGCTGGTGCACGCACGGGGGCACCAGCACCGAGGCACGCGTAGCGTGCCTCCGTCCTCGTGCACGGAATGTTCACGCAACTATCACATCATCCCCTGGTAATGCAGCATAATCCTTCATTTTCACGCAACTATCACTTCATCCACAGCACACAACCATTGCAAGAACTCTTTCACAGCCTACTAATAAGCAAATGTTCGAGCTCTATTCTGAATCATCCCATAGAAGACGAGAAATTTTTTTACACGTGCTTCTCTGTTAGTGCATGACTTGATGGAATCAAGCAGAAAACGGAGGGGGTTCGGAGTTTCGTCACGGACCTGAATCGAGTCGGTAAGGTGGTAAAGCTTGCTGCTTTTAGTCCTTTAGATTCTGCTCGTGACGCGTTGCGAAATTTGATGCTCAATCGATCTCGCCAAAATGGTAAACGCCTTGCCTTTTCTGCTCTTTCCAATTTATAGCTTTAGGTTTTCATTTAACTATTTTTTTCCTTTGTTTTGAAAATTGTAGATTCGGTTCATACTATTACAGAACAAGCAAGGAAAAACTCGACTAGCAAAATGTTACATTTCTCTCGAGGAATTTGAGAAACACAAAGTTGAATATGAGGTGTTATTATTATTATTATTATTATTATTATTAGTTTCTGGATATTTTAATTTTTCCTTGAATTTTGACTTTTCTCATTTTTTAATGTATGTTCATCGATTGGTTGTAAATAGGGATCGCAAATTCACCGACTTTGTGGAGGTTAGCATTTCTAAACTTTTAGATTTTATTTACTAAAGTTTTAATTTTGAGCGGACGATTGTTTCTTTATCAATTTCTGCACTGTTACACTTCGAGGTTTAATTAAAACATGAGATTAATCAGTTGAAGTGGCATCTTGATCATTATTTTGTATAGATCACAGCATTTAAGGTCATTAGTTTACATTGAGATCATGATACCGTGTTGCACTATATGTTGTTGTGATGAAAAGTGGATTCATGTTTTGTGGTTATAACGGTGTCATCGATTGCTTGTAATTTGTTGGCCAAAGAATCAGTAAAGCATCAAATTAATATATATGAAAGGCAAAGGGTGTCCACTCAGGCTTGTACTCCAACTGGTCCATAGAATGCCCCAATTATATCCTCTTTAAATTACCCTAATATTGTCCCAAGAGTTCAGTTAGATTCTTCAGCCAATCGTACAAGTTTTATATTTACATTTGATGAATTCCTTTTTCAATTATATAAATTTGATGGCCTTGATTTGATAGAAACCGCATGTATAAAATGGAAGCATTTCTCTACTATATAAATGTATATTTTGTATAAAATACAGTAAAATATTAGGTTATGATGGGGTGGACTGCCAAGTTGGGGAGTGGGGTAAGAGTGGTTATTTAACCTTAAAATTTGCCATTGAGTTTTTCAAAGAATGGTTTATAGCAAGAAAAATTAAATACCTTGTGACAATTTCCATTGGATTATATAAACCAACAGTAGGTAAATGAAGTGAGACACAATACATTAGATTTTGCTACCAAGTCGGAAGGCGAGACACAATACACAATACTATTAAGTAAAATCTAATAGTTTAGAAATGCTAACCTCCACAAAGTCGGTGAATTTAGATTTTATTTACTAAAGTTTTAATTTTGATCGGATGATTGTTTCTTTATCAAGTTCTGCACTGTTACACTTCGAGGTTTAATTAAAACATGAGATTAATCAGTTGAAGTGGCATCTTGGTCATTATTTTGTATAGATCACAGCATTTAAGGTCATTAGTTTACATTGAGATCATGATACCGTGTTGCACTATATGTTGTTGTGATGAAAAGTGGAGGAACTTGAATTCATGTTTTGTGGTTATAACGGTGTCATCGATTGCTTGTAATTTGTTGGCCAAAGAATCAGTAAAGCATCAAATTAATATATATGAAAGGCAAAGGGTGTCCACTCAGGCTTGTACTCCAACTGTTCGATAGAATGCCCCACTTATATCCTCTTCAAATTATCCTAATATTTTCCCAAGAGTTCAGTTAGATTCTTCAGCCAATCGTACAAGTTTTGTATTTACATTTGATGAATTCCTTTTAATTTTTTTTATCTTATTTGTTGATTGATTTGCTACCAAGAGAGATGCCTGTTTTAGTCGTAAACCAAGTGCTTCTTCTGGTTGGTGATTCTTTTTCCTTTGGAAAAGTTTCTGGGTTTTCATGGGTAGCTCCAATTCGTAGCAGTTTGACCTTTTTTGGTCGTTTTAGTAATGAAAGTGGACCTCTCACTCTAGCCAGACTTGGAACTAAAGGAACCATTGCAAAGCTGAATAGACATGACCTTGTTTCTGATGTAGAAATAGTGAGACACATCAAATTTGTTGTCTACTTAGTCCATCTATTGTACAATTATAGTCTTAGATAAGCTGTCTTTTGTCATATTTGAATTCATATTTGTCCTCCTGCAACATAAAGATTGAAATTTGTGTTTGATTTCTCGAAACTGTTGAATGAAGAAAACATCACTAACTTTCCAGATTATTCCATCTTCTCTGCTGACATACTAGGAGATGCTGGAAGTCTCTAAACTTCTTGCCTATCCACCTCCAAGAATAGATGAATCTAGAAGCCATTTTCACCGCCATATTAGAAGCTATTGAAACATGATCGGACATGAGTATCTTGTAGACCAATATTTGAAGATTATATTTCATCCAGCACCTTGAAGTTTAATTAACCTCTTCCAAACTATTAAGTTCCTATCTGGAAACAGTCATCTACATTGATACACTTCAAATCTTAAGATTATATACTATCCAGTCATCTAAGCAATGAAACACATTTCTTGTTAAATACCAATAACTGTTGTAATTTAACATATATCGTTTTGTTGGTAAGTTTCGAATGAAATAATCTGTAGCTTTCCTTGGATCAAGGTTTTATATTAGCCTCTTTTCAAGTTCAAATTTTCTTAACCTGTAGATGTGTGCCATGCTTTAGGCCATGTAACCAGCAATGTCTTGTTTGATGCCTCGTTCACTAAAACAATTAAAGGTGACGCTCAACCTAATTCTCAGGATTAATTAAGAATTGAACGAGCTTCTTCGTAATTTTAAATTGACATTATTTATTTTGCAGAATGTCTTTTATTTTTTATGTTTCTTTTTTATCAGCCATTGATACACCTGCAACGTAATAATTGTAATTTTAACCATCTTTTGTAATTTAACTATATGCATAAAATGCAGGTGTATCAATGGCCTCATTGACTAGGCTGTCTTTCAACTATATTAGCTTCGTTAGTGCTATGATTTCAAAGATTGTAGTAGAAGAATTCTATTGAGTTTATATAGGTCCAGTTTCGGTTTTGCCCATAATATTAAAATCATGCACCAGGAAGCACGGTTGCGAAATAATTCAGTGAGGGTTTAAGTGAATTAAGTGGCAAGGTAAATGATTTTCAGCCATATCAAACTAAGTTGAAAACACTGGATTTAGACTCGAACAATTAGATGTCAAATTTTGAAAAGTTAGACCTCATATTCTAGCGACACCTTATGTTTATAGTCCATCTACCCTATATCAGCTCCACTATATCTTAGAATTGTAAAAAAAAATGCACGGCAGCATGGAGAAATGCCTCCATCCACTTGGATGGAGGCAAACCATGCCTCCATTACATTTCTCCATCCAAGTGGATGGAGGCAAACCATGCCTTCATTACTTGAGATGCTTCCGTCCAAGTGTATGGAGGCATGGTGCCTCCGTCCACGCATGGAGAAATGCCTCCATCCACTTGGATGGGGGCAAACCATGCCTCCATTACATTTCTCCATCCAAGTGGATGGAGGCAAACCATGCCTTCATTACTTGAGATNTTTTCCTTTTATCTCCTGATGTAGGTTTCCTTCTTGTCTTTTCTTTACCAAGGATTACAAGAAACAAGCATTATATATTAATCACATACAGTTTGATTTTTTTTTACTATACTAATTACATTGTTAATTATTATCATCATCATCATCATCATCATCATCGTCATCATCCACAAGTCAACTATTGATTTATTTATGGTGAAATGTTAGTTCTAAAAATAAAAATTACATATCTACAGAGATGGGAAAGATAAAATTACATTTTATCTCATCATCAATCAACGTTATAAAATTACTTCATCTAATTCTTCCACCCCACCAAGCCCACCAATCCAAAAACTAAATAATAAGGTAGTCACGATTTAGTATTTACAAAGTTTTCATTCTCGATAGGAAGATATTCATTATTCACCTTACAGCATTAAAACAAGTATCATGCTTTAAATGTAAATTAATGTTATAAGCCATATGAAAAGGGGTGAGAGGTTACAATTTGCAGCATCATTAGCATTCAGTCCAAGGAAAAGAGCTGTATCATGTGTGGTGATTGTAGAATATGCCTCCGTGCACGATATTTTTTTTTTTACAATGCTACCAATATTGGAATATTGGAACATGTGCTAATAATCTATTTTAAGTTTATAGTCAGTCAAAGAACTAAAATTTTGGTTCATTGTGTAATGCTATTTGCCTATTAATTGTTGTTGGATGCTTGTTAGGTTGTATCAAATGGGAAGTTGATTGTTGTTGGATACTTCAGAAAAAATAAATCCTTCATAATTCATCAGGTGAAGGGAACCATCAACCAAAATAAAATCATTTCTATCTTATCGACAATAATCAACTAACGTGCAACGCACGTTCTATGCACTAGTGTTGTTGAAAACATACAAAAAGTCATAATCATATTCAAGAACAAAAAATCATTCCAAATATAACAAGAGATTACAATTTTCTTCATCATATTCAAATTCTTCTTTAGTGTTCTTCAAGTTTTGGAGAATTACACCTAATGCTTGAGTGTTAATTCTTTATAAGGCTTGTTTAATCCTGCACACCATTTGTATTAATCCCTACAAGCATTATTTCAATCCGAGAGGGGAAAAATATAGTTTGAAGACAGCGATATCATGTTCAAGCCATCAATGTTCATTTTAAATCCATTTCCTGATTTGGTATTTGGTTAGTTGCTTTCATTGGTGATCTTCTTTTTCTGGTTTTGGTTCGTTGATTTATTCTCCGATCCCTCAAGTGGAAGTCATCAAACTATATTATTGACTATGGAGAACGAAAGCACTTTGACGACGATTAAGTTGATGCATCAAGACCTTGTACGGTAGTTGATTTTATAAAAATGTCGAGTAAGATTTTATGACAATGTCTGGGGTAGATTTAAACTGCAAATTTTGCGTTTTATATAACAAACTAAGGTGAAAAACGAGTTGACAAATCAAACATGTGAATTAATTACCAATTCTTTTTTAATCAATAATTAATAATGCCTTCGTATCGTTTTCAGTTGGTTTTAACTTCAAAATCACACAACTAAGTCATACTTAGAACCAGTCATTACAAGAAAAAAAATTCACAAATAATACACTAAAAGTATATTAATTAAGCCAACTATTATTTATTTTTATATTTATTAATACAAATTTGCATCTAAAAAATTATCAAAAGTCTCAATAACTGACTGCTTCTTACCTTACCTAAGCAAATTACCTGCTCATACGAATCCTATTTTTGAAATAAATTATGTATGCAGAGAGACTAATTCTAAAAGGGTTTCAAGAAATGTGTATATATATGGGGGGAGAATAAGCCATTTTCAATAACACAAGGCAGAAACAAATTTGGTTGATAGAAGACTAAAGTCGAGATTTCTCTGATTCTTTCTTAATTAGGAGCAATGGGGAGCTACAGGGAACCCCATCTGTGGGTTCTATTGGCTCTTTTCTCCATGATGGTGGCAGGTATAAATGCCGACGATTACAAGTCACCACCACCACCGCCTACGCCTTATAAGTACGAGTCACCACCCCTACCACCTTACAAGTATGAATCACCTCCACCACCTCCTTACAAGTATGAGTCACCACCACCCCCTCCTTACAAGTACAAGTCACCTCCACCACCTCCATATGTCTACAAATCCCCGCCACCACCACCTTACGTCTACAAGTCTCCTCCACCTCCGCCATATAAGTACGAGTCACCTCCACCCCCACCTTACAAGTATGAATCACCACCACCACCTCCTTATGTCTACAAGTCACCACCGCCTCCGCCATACAAGTATGAATCACCACCACCCCCTCCTTACAAGTACGAATCACCTCCTCCACCTCCATATGTCTACAAATCTCCTCCGCCCCCACCTTACAAGTATGAGTCACCACCACCGCCACCATACAAGTATGAATCACCTCCTCCACCTCCATATATGTACAAGTCACCACCACCCCCTCCTTACAAGTATGAATCACCTCCCCCACCTCCATATATCTACAAATCTCCACCGCCTCCACCTTACAAGTACGAGTCACCACCACCTCCCCCATACAAGTACGAATCACCTCCTCCACCTCCATATGTCTACAAATCTCCACCACCACCTCCTTATGTCTACAAGTCACCACCGCCCCCACCTTACAAGTATGAATCACCTCCACCACCCTCCTACAAGTATGAGTCTCCCCCACCTCCACCTGTTTATTATTAGAATTTCCTAAAAAGTCCACCACAATAGCATTGAAAGACGCAACTCTTCCACTCACAATTTCAGTATCAACTTTTCATTATAAACGTCATCTTCTCACAATAAGCCTTTCTTCTTTTTTTCTTTTAAACACAAATAAAGTTCTTTTTATCCGCCTCCTGTTGTAAAGTACTACAATACCTTCCAGATATGAACTACCTGGGTAGAAAAAGAAGGGACTCATAAGCTCTATCTTTGGGTCAGTGATCAGCTCTTGCAGCATATATCTGGGGCAGATTCTTATCTATGTAGATGGTATTGTAAATGTATCCTGTTTGTGAACTTTGAAACTACTTTCCTTTTCAAGTTATTGTACTTCATGCATACAATTAATAAAACTGGTTTATTAAATCAGATGTATGTTTCATTCTAATTTTCTTTGGTTCTGTGTTTCTTTTTTGTCCATACCAATTAATTCTGAGATAAATTTTGATTAGCTGGTGATTAGTCTTTCCTCGTATTTTTCCAAGATGGAACATCAATCTTGGACTGAAGAAGGGAAAGATGTCACTTGCTTATTGGTTTGGTCAGTAACATGAGAGAGAGTGAGTAATTCGTTGGTAATTAGTAGTTTTTCATACCAAAGCTGTTGAATAACAGTAACCATTGAGTACAATTTGCACCCTGCTATGTCATTTACAAAGGAGAAGAAAATGATGAATATAAATCCGGTAAAGGCTTGAACACGAAGATTATATCGTTGTCCTCAAACGATATTTACCTCCTCTACAATGCTTTTAAGGATTTTAACGGCAAAATAGTTTGTAGGATTAAACAAGCCTTATGAAGATCACCAAAAGCGAAGTGAATCTTCAAATGAACAAGTGAAAAAACTTATTATGTAAATGGACAAAATATTCTCTAAAAAATTTGATGTGCACAACAAATGTTTATAGGTTTCAGCCATCCCACACAAAGTGGTTCCAAGCTCAATTCAAGAGATGCAATGCTTCATCAATCAACCACCAGAAAATTCGAAAAAACCCAGCCAAAGGTCACATTTTGTAACTATGCAGCCACATAGGCTATAACAATGCGGTCGCATAGTTATCACCTTGGCTGCCTCTGAATTTCCTGATCGCGCCTATGCGACTGCATGCATAAAAGGCCTACGCAGTCGCATAGGTCATTTTCATGGCGTCAATTTTCCCTTTTCATTCATCCACGATTCATCTAGCCATAATTGTGAACAACAAGATTCCAACACATACATATTCATCTCATCTCAATTATGTCCATTTCATTCAACAGTATAAAAACACGTCTCAGGGAACCTCTTATTTAATATAGCTATGTTTTGTTCTGTCTCCCCCTCCAGTGCAACGCCAATATCATACAAATACAGCAAACAAATTTCACCCTACAGTTTTGAAGGACTCATGAATGTGCCTCAAAGTGTCTTGATCCTTATTCCACTCTGGTGTTGGAGCATTAACAAAATGAGCATAAAGCTTATTCTTGGTACAAGTAACTGATATCAGGCTATGTGCACCAAGCCCATCAATCTCATACACATAGTAAACTTGCCCTTTTTCATCCTTTCTCTCTTCTGATTTAACATTTTCAGCACTTGCAATCAGATCTTGCAAATTTACATCTGATAATGCCAAGTTGTTTAGCACAGTGTCTTTTGGTGCAAGTTGCCTAAAACCTTCAAGAAAAGTTAGATATTCCTTTTCTGCCTTCTTCTTTGGATTGTAAAACTCACTATCGGTGCCATTAGTTCCTTTCTGTACCTTCGATACTAATCTTTCTTTCCATCCGTCTGGCACGTCGTAGATGTACTCTGCGGAGGTCTTCTTGTCGGAATTGCCTCCGTATCCACCGTAGTTGGCTGCACTAGCTGCAGTTCCATAGTATAAGTGGTAAGGAGAGTCTGCTAGGGAAGGTGGTGAGGTGGTTAGAATTGTGGTTGCCAGGGCAGTGGCAGCTAGTGTGGTGGTTAATTTAGTTAATTGCGGTTTAGTAGGGAGGAGATTGAGATGGGGTTTGGTTGGTGGCGGTTGAACTGGTGGTTTTGGAGGTGATGGAGTGGTGGAGGAGGATGAAGGGAGGAGTGCAGAAGGAGAGAAAATTGTAGCCATGGAAACTTTTGCTTGTGTAATCTGGATAGATGTCTCTGGTTTCTAACTCTTATCCTATAATAGTAGCGAAGTGGATATTATGTTACCAGGTGTGTTGCTGAGGTTCACCAATCATCACAAGGGATGATGCCATGTCATCTTCAATTTTTAGGTCCAATGTGGATAATGCGTGTTGGATTAGTAGACTCAAGTTTGATTTCACAGGAGAAAATAGGATTTATGGGAAAATGATTTCACCAAATTTTGAACTTTTAGATTGTGTCGACGACTTCAAAACCTATTCAGTGGCGTTAGGGGTGTCAACGAGTCGAGTCGAACCACAAGCCGAAATTCGAAGCTCGGGCTTGGCTCGAGCAAAATGGGTTCCGTCTTTTTTTGGCCCGAGCAGAGTAAAGGCTCGGAAAAAAATTTGAGGCTCGGGCATCAACGAGCTGGTTCAATTTTGTTTTTTAATAACACAAAGGCAGCACAACTGGCTCTTTCCTCCCCTTCCATTTCAAATTTTTTTTCCAAAATGGGGCTCCGCTCGAGCTTCGGCTAGGTTCTACCGAGCCTCGGGCCTGCCCAAGCGGCCCGAGCTAGCGAGCCAAACTACCATCCCTAAGTGGCATCGTAAATTTGAAAAACCTATCAATAGCTCGACAACAAGAAATAAGTGCATTTATGTCTAAGCTAGTTAATTAGTTTACAGTGAAATTCCAAGAAATGAATGTTAATGGTAGTGTCTCTCAAAATATTTTTGCTAAAAATTACTAGTATGTCATCATAAATAGCTGAACGAATTTTAATACTCTTAATTGAAATAACAAATCAAATCATACATATTAACTTATATAGTGCTTTTCATACTACTTTTTAATTATTAATTTTTTATTAAATATTTTACTTTAAAGAATGATTTTTTTGTATAAAATTTATTATTTTCATTTCCTAAATTCTAAAATCAAATCAATTAAATTAAATTGACTAGGTTAATAAAATGTTGAAAAATATAGAAAATACTTCATTTAACTCTTCCAATGTTGTAATAACAAATATAAAATTTTAATTACTATCTTCAAAGTAATAATTTCTATTCAATTTTTTAAAAAAAATAAGCAATTAAAATATATTTTATATTAATTGTTATTTTGTAGCTAAAAATCACTTTCTCAATCATTTTTAATTGTTATTTTAATATTTTGTTCTATTTAAATATGTTTTATTGCAAATTTGTAAATTTGACAATGAAAATTGTTTTTTTCTTACTATACTACAAAATTTAGGATATAAACACCCCTATATAGAAGGCGTTTTTTAACGGTTTATTAATAGTTACTCGCTCTTTTTACGGTTAATATAGCATAATCAGACCGGATTTGAGGTAGGTTCCTGATTTTACAAGTTGAACGACCGGTCCAGTCTGATTTTTATGACATTGCTATTTAGTAAATTTCTCTTGCTATTGTCGACCTTCATGACATTGGTTCTACATGACAGTATACCTACTTTACTATCTAATAAAATATGTGTACACTTTATTATGGACTCTTTACTTGAACACAATAAATATCTTGTCCATGCGGGTGGCAATGTTTTTCCAGTTGGAAAAAAATAGGTGATTTGTGTGTAGATAAATCATCAATTAACATAACAATTTTAAATAGCATGAAAATACAATTCAATAATAACATAAACATAAAACATAAGTAGAAAGGGTTAGAAAAACAAGTCAGGGAGTCACGTCGAGGACGCTATTCTAAAGTGGTATTGCCTTTCATTCGTGCAAATACTTTCTATGGGCACGACCATAAGGAGATAAAGAATGAACCGTTATCGAATTGTCAAAAAATATAGAAATATAGTATGGAAAATATATAAAAAAAAACAGTCATCTCAAGTTGCATGCAAACTGTAAAATCTCCCATTTTATAGTGTGAAACTTAACCACCACAATAATGAGAATTACACCAATTAAAAATATATGTTACACTCTAATATTATAAAATTTTATTTTATATTAAAAGTTAATAGTAAAAATCGAAAGTGAAGAATAATATTTGTAGTGGAAGTTTAAAACTTTTAAAAAATGTTACAACAGTTTCCTTGTGTTCTCGAAGCACAAGTTTAGGACTCAGACCTCAACTTCGGCCGAATATCGAGCCCAAGCTTCCAGAGATGCTCAAGTTTCTTGGGATTTCATTATTGATATATATTTTGACCAACAAACTTGCTATTTATCGTGATAATAATGGGCTGACACATTCATGTACTCCAACTCCGATTATATTCTTTTCTGATCATTACTCTAACTAGTGTGTCACCCGTGCGATGCACGGATATTGTACTAAAAAATTAAATTCATAAACGTTGAGATTAAATATTTCATTTGACTTAAAAATGATTATTGATGTTGTTATAAAAGTATATGAAATAAGTGTCATATATGCGTTACAATTGTCATAAAAAAATTAAACCGATGTTCCAACTACTACAAATTTTGGAAAAGTTCCTTGAAAACACATTTGTC